ATTTCCAACTGCCTCCCGGCCGTGTCCGCTTGGACGTCTCCCAGAGTCTCAAACCCAATATTCTCCAGAATGAACTCCTTATCGACTCCTCTCCCTCAACACCACCAGTCAGCATGCCTTCCAGCGTTTTCCAGCTCTGCAAATCACAACACCACTCACACTAATAGTCCATCTGGGAACCTGTGTCACTCCCACGTCACGTTCTCACCACATCCAGCACCGCCTAAACACCACGGGGGGCTTCCGGCCTTCCAGCCACCCCTGCCCCATCCCGGGCCACCCTCTTCTCTCAGCTACACTGGTAACAGCCTCTTTGCTGGTCTTTATCCTAACTGCAGTGTCACCAACCTCCTAGTCCATCCCCAAGCAACAAGCAGGGAGATCCTTCTAGAATGCAAAAGTGTCACCTCTTCCGTAAAACTCCCAAAAGGGTCTTTTTGGGGAAAATGAAACTGTTCTGGAACTGGCTGGTGCTGATGATTGCACAACATCATGAGGGCACTAAATGCCACTGAATTGTGCACTTTGGTTGAATGCTGAATTTTATTCTCTATGAATTTTATTACAATTAAAAAACAAAAATACCAAACCTCCCACGGCCCCCATGCTCCTCTCTGTGGCTTCCATAATCTGGCCCTTCCAGCCTCCGTTCTTGCTAGAGACTCAAATAAATCTTTGGACTTTGCTGGGGAACAGAGATCTTGCAGATGGAAACTGTGGACCCTAAGAAAGAAAATGCCTAGTAAGAGGGGCTCCTGCTAGCTAACTGGGCTCAAAATGAAAAACTAACAAAAAAACAACAGCAGCCTAACATTTCTGCACAAGATCCTCTCACACAAACTGCACTTCAGGGAGAAGCCTGCACTGAACCCCCTGCCTGCACTGTTTCTGCCACTGAGCCAGGCTTTATAAAGGGCCTTACAGAGGAGCTCCTGAAACGCTGTCTCAACTGGACTGTGGCTTTCCCCCATCCAGAGCTCTAACCAATCAGAGTGTTTCTATTCTGACCAATCAGGACTTTAGTACCAATCAAAATGCGAGGATTTGGAGTCCTCATTTACATGAGGACAGACCAATCAGGGACCAGAGCACGGGCTTCTGTGCCCAGAGGCCAGCTCCCTACGGACTCTGAGCGCAGACTGTCCCTTTCCCCCAAAGGCCGAAGACTGTGCTGTCCCCGGCTAGAGCTGGAACACTGAGGACATCTCGTTCGCTGGCCCCAGGGCTGCCTCACAGCGGCGCTGTGTCACCATTGAACCCTTGGCACTGAATAGTTTCCTTCCTCATCGCACCCCAACCTGGGGATTCCTGTTGGCGTTGAATTGGCACCAATGACCACCGGTTGACAAAATGATGACCGAGCGGAGGGTTGGGAAAGCAGGTCACTCTGGAGAGGGTGGCAGAAAGTATATTCTAAAGACTCCCCAACACTACCCCTAATCCCCACGCTCTCCTTATAACGTGACTGATGCTGGATTTAGGGCCCACTCTGATCCAGGAGGACCTCATCTTCATTTAACGAATCACATCCGCAAAGGCCCTTTTCCACACAAGGGCTCACTTACAGGTTCTGGAATTATGACTTCAGTGTACCTTTTGGGGTGTACACCTGAAACCTCCCCCTTTTTTAGGTTGACAATTTCAGTGCCCTGAGCACACACATCACCTCCAGGGGCCTCGATGGTAAAAGGCTAAGACCAGATGTGGAAAAGATCCCGTCCAGGTCTGACACCCGTGGCTCTAGCTGACTCCACTGTGCAGTCAGGGCACTCCCGGGTGAGGGGAGACATAATGCCTGGCTCCAGAATGACAGGTGAGCTGTCATCGCCTCCTGGGCTCCCTGAGGCTGCCGCCCCCGGCCAGGCAAAGGCCCAAGAACACTGGGGGTGCAGGATGGAGCAAGCCCCACAAATGAGCAAGGTGGCAGGAGATGGGAGTCGGCTCTCCCAGCACATAGATGTTTTATTGGTGATCGTGCTCACTCCTCTCTGAGACCCCGGGTATCCCGCTAAGCATTTCTAATTGAGCAGATAGAAATAAATATGGGACCAACGCCGGTGTTCTGACAGAATCCCCATGTCATCCTGGAAAGAGGAGTCCCCGCACGCAGCGGGCGCAGTGCTGCTGATCAGAAGCCCGCACTGGCCGGCTGGTGTGCTCTGCGGTTGAGCAGCAACCCAGGGACCAGGAGGTCACCAGTTTGATTCCCGGTGAGGGCACATGCCCAGGTTGTGGGCTCGATCCCCAGTAGGGGGAGTGCAAGAGGCAGCTGATCGATGGTTCTTTCTCATCAATGTTTCTATCTCTCTCCCCCTCTCCCTTCTTCTCTCTCTAAAAAGCAATACAAACATTTAAAAAAAAGGCTGCATGCCTGGGCCACGAGGGAATGCCCCATGCAGTGGCCTCAGCACCATGTCCACCATCAGTGCCACGAGGGGTCTTCAGACCCCAAGGATGGTGATGGGGAGGTGGAAACACATGGCCGGCTTGGCAGCCAGAAGAAGGTCTGATCTCAGTTCTGGCCAGTGACATTGGATGCGTCCTTGGTCTTACTGAGCTTCTGCCGGCTGTCCGTCAGTGGGAACAGGGTGGACGCCCCTCCTTGCAGGATGGCAGCAATGAGCCGGCTTTGGAAACTCTAGAGTGCCCTGCTGGGTAAGAAAGCTATGGGTGCCAGGTGACCATCCTGAATGGTGTCCCCAGGGACCTTCTACAGAGGACCAGAGCAGGTGACAGTGGTTTGTGGCCATGCACAGGGGAGATGCCTCCTGGAGACAGGCAGGGACATCAGAGCATCGGAGGGCCTCGCAGGTCATCGTGAGGTTTGGACTTTCCCTCCGAGTGAGCTGGGAGCCGTTGCAGGGGCTGAGCATCTTTTTCTGAAGATAAAGCAGGAGGGAAAGTGAGAGGTGATCTCATCCCCATGTTACAGGTAAGGAAACTGACCCACCACTTGCCCACGCAGTGTCCACGGCCAGTCTGCTCCTGGAAGGGGGACCTGCTGCTGTCTCGGGGCTGCCTTCATCCGACAGGGAGCCGTTTGTTCTCAGTCCCCATCTCTGCAGGGGCCCAGGGACCCATCCTGAGGGACCGCTCTCCCCACACCGGAAGCAGTGCCCAGAGCTGTCCCCTGGGGCAGCGTCTGCAGCCCCAGGTCCACCCAGGGTCACCATTCTGCACCCACCCTCTCAGCTCTGAGTCTCTTCTAGCGTTAGCCTCATTTCTCTGTATGTCTGCTTTTTCAGTTCATTTCTGCTTCTCGGTTCTCTCTCCCCCCCTCCCCCC